CCCCCCCCCCCCCCCCCCAGCCCCCGGGGGGGGATTCTCCGGCGAGTGTTTGCCCTGGGTGAGGCGCCGATTCGTTGGCACGTGTTGGCTCCCAGCCCGGGCTCAGTAAGGTCCTTCGTGGATGATCCTGCCAGTGCCGGGACGCACCTCAGCAAGCCATTCATTTGTTCCCACACTCGGGGCCAGACCGGGGCCCGGTCCTGTGCCACCGCTCCCCCCCCTCTCGCCCCCCCCCTCCTACTGTACTCTCGCCGTCCCCCCCCCCCCCGCTTTTACTTGATCTATCCCCTCCCCATCCACTCGGCCCCCTGCTCGTACGCCTGCCGATAGAATGACAAACACACCCACCCGCGCCACGGCGCCGGTGTCACTGGTCGTGGTCAGTGGCGCCCTTGGCAGTGGCAAGACAACCATCATCCTCCATCTGCTGGATGCCCTGTCGCGGCAGGGCTTGCGGATTGCCGTGCTGAAGAATGAATTTGGCGATGCGCAGGTCGATCAGGCGCTGTATCGCCGCGCGGCCGGGTCGGCCGACTCGAGGGAGTCCTCGGGGTCGGCCGAGCCTGCTGGCGGTGTGACTGAGGTCCGCGAATTGGCCAACGGCTGCATGTGCTGCACGCAGGTGGGCCAGATCGAGGATGCCTTGCGGGCCCTGGTGCACTGGCGTCCGACGACGGCCCCGGCCGGGCCGCCGGATTTGGTCTTCATCGAAACGTCTGGCGATGCGCAGCCCGCCTCGCTGGCTTTGGAGTTGGCACGCATTGCCCAGAAGCCGCTATTGCCTCCCGGGACGCCGGCCGACCAGCGAACCGGCGGCATTGAGGTCCGGCTGGATGCCGTTGTGGCCGTGGTGGACTGCTTGAATTTCTTCTCCGGCGCCGGAGCCACCGGACCATTTGCCGCCGGGCCAGATGGGTCGGCTGGCAGCTGGGTCCCAACACCGAGTGCCCTGCTTCAGGCACGCTTGGTGGATTTGGTCCTCCTGAATCGCATTGAGCCAGCCCCGGGTGAGACCGAGGCCGATGCCGACCGTCGCCTGGATCTGGTGCGTGATGTTGTGGACAGCCTGTTTGATGAGAAGCCCAAGCTCCGGGCCCCAGGTGGCCGGGTTGATCCGGCTCTCTTTCGGCTGACAGTGGCGGCGGCGGCGGCGGACACCGCGGCCGCCGCCACCGCGGCCACGGCCAGGCTCGAGGATCCCTGCGATCCGGGATGCACGTTGGGTACCTGCGACCATGCGGCGGCGCAAGATCCAACCCGGCCGACACATCAGCCTCTCCAGGTCCTGCAGGTTCACTCCCTCCGAGCAGATGGAGCCCTCCCCCTCGGCCAGGAGGCCTTCGAGGACCTCCTGGGCCGGCTGCCAGCCGAGCAGTGCTTCCGAGTGAAGGGGCACCTGTGGTTTGCTGACCAGCCAGCTGAGCGGCACATTTACAATGTGGCCTTCGGCCGCCTGGACCACATGAGCCATCAGGCGTATGAACATCGGCCGGGGGACAGTCAGCCGGGCGACGTGTCTCGACTGGTTGTCATCGGCCTCGATCTGTATATGGTTCTGGGCCTGGTCCGCCGGGCGCTGGGCGCCGCTGATGGGGAGACCTCCGTGGCACTGGCATCCTAGGGGGAGTTGTGCTCTAGGGTTTGCTTGTTTTTTTTTTCTCGCATCCGTGTGCATTCGTATGCATGTGTAGACCTGCACGAGCAACAATGTACCAAGGCCAGAAGGCGTGCGGAGGGACCTTGTTGCTGGCGGTGGTGCCGCCGCCTCCGGGGGGGGGGGGGGGGGGTTCTAAATGTAGGTGTATTCATTGGATCGGGAAGGTATCCTTCCACCGGGGCGACACAATCGTCTGCATGGCCGCCGAGGGGGCGCCGATGGTACATGAGTTGATATGGATATGTGCATGCGAAAGAGGCGAAGAGGAGAGGCGCATGCATGTGTGGCAAGGTAGGGGAGGACACATTTGGGAAGGGGCTTACTGACGGCGGAGGCGATCCAGTCGCTCCTTAATCGAGGCAAGGTTCGGTCGGGCTGTGCCGGGAGCGACATCGGCTGAGCCGGCAGGCAAAGACGAGGCAGCGGCCGGAGGCGCCGCCGAAGTCCCGGGAATCAGCGCGGCCGGAGTCAGCAACGGCGACAGCCGGGCGGCACGCTCCTCGGGGGAGTGATGCCCCGAGGTCGATGAGGGAGCCGCCGAATCGCCGGAAGAGGTGGGCCGGCCGAGGGCCGACGCGCGGCCAGCATCGACTACGGATGAGTTTCGGGGGGCGGGGGGG